GTTTTTCCGCCTCACAACAGAAATCCCAAGTTTTTATCTATCAAAAGGCTTGGAGAAGCAGTAGAATTTTAATTTTGACTTATTGTCTTGGCGGTTACTACACCTAACACCACAACAAGCAGTAACCATCCTAGAAACTTAAAATAGGAGAAATCTCACACACATGGACTACTGGTATGTATTCGTGGTTATGGTATAACCCTTGCTAATAGATGCTGACAAACTGGTTTAGGAAAACACGTGAGAAAACGCTTGGACATATTAGTGTAGGTCCTGGGGAATGCGTGTTAGAAGCGTGAAGCATTTTCTAATATACCCTAGTGTTTGCTCACGTGTCTTTTAACCAATACGTGGTTATCATTGCAGCTTCACGTCTAATATGGCTGACACGTGACATTATATGCTAAACCTCACTCAATATGATGTCGGGCCAACATTTTCGTACTAATAAGAAATTTTTCAGTTGTTATTGGACAGAGAACAAAGGCTCTATAGGAAATCAATAAGATTTTTCTCCCAGAGAATAAGGTTCATAATTCATGAATAAGTTATTTTTGTCGATAAATCTCTACCGGATGTTGAAAATGGAGTTGTCTTCGGTGTATATTAGGATTTTTCGAGGTGATGTTAGCAGTATTTTCTGTATCAGAATGCGATTTTTTTTTTGCTGACACTTAGACTTTTAGTCATATGCTGACCTACTACTCCACGAAACTTTTGGCCACTTGACTGAGGCCTTCAATTGGCTTACCTGTTCACGCAGTAAAAAAAAAAAAAAGTAATCTCTCATCATAAGATGTGATAAAGCTTCAAAAAAAATTCGAATAAGTATTCCTATAATATGTAATGTATCATTCGTAAAAAAGAATTTGACTTGAAGCATATACTTGGCATTATATTTTAAGCTGCGTTTTACCCTCAACGAAAATGAGAGATAGAAGTCAGGTTTAGTCGAGGCTGTATTGCTATCAAACGACAGATTAGGCTTCAGAGCACAACTGAGGCTGTGGCTCTTTGAGGCCGGCAACCCCAACTCTCAGCTTCTACTGTGTATACAGTGAAGGCTGAAAGACCTCTTGAAATCCCTACATTGTATAGAGTGGGGAAGGCGGAAATGCCTCTCGAAATCCCCAGTGTATAGAGCATTGCAAGCCCTGAGAGCCCTCACAGTGCAAGCCCTGAGAGCCCTCACAGTGCAAGCCCTGAGAGCCCTCACAGTGCAAGCCCTGAGAGCCCTCACAGTGCAAGCCCTGAGAGCCCTCACAGTGCAAGCCCTGAGAGCCCTCACAGTGCAAGCCCTGAGAGCCCTCACAGTGCAAGCCCTGAGAGCCCTCACAGTGCAAGCCCTGAGAGCCCTCACCAACCATAAGGCAAGAAAGTATTTAGAAGTGCAAGCCCTGAGAGCCCTCACCAACCATAAGGCAAGAAAGTATTTAGAAGTTGACAAGTTCTTTTAATGTAGAGTGCTTTTATTTTATTACCAACATTATTGCCACCACTGTCATCACTACCACTGTCATCACTACCACTGTCATCACTACCACTGTCATCACTACCACTGCCTCCAAAGGAGATACTAGTGAAGAATTCTTGCGTTAATGATTTGGCGCTGTCTTCCATTTTTTTAATCAAATCTGATTGCCACCATATAATATTGTACTAATACAATAAAGCAATTGACAATAGTATATTACAATACTAAGTCCTTAGGTTAGATTAAGTAAGGTTCGTCAGGAAACAGGACAAGTATTTCCTGACGCGGGTTTTAGTCAGATAATAACCTGCCGTTGGAAATTTTGGTAATTTGACCGAGGCCTTCCACTGGCTTATCTGTCCACCCCCTTCAAAAATTATGGTCATAGTTATAACCATTTGTAAATACTAAGTCCTACTTACGGAAATCTAAGAGTCGTAATTGACAACAGAGCAAGAGACAGCTGTTGTGCGCATATTTACAACAGTAGTGAGAGGTGTTCAGTCTCCAGACTGACAAGAGCAACAGACTGGTGCTGTGCACGCATTCACAACAGCAGCAACAACAACAGATGATCAGTGGGCAGATTTAAGCAACCCACTCGGGAGGTGCATTAGGCTATGAAATGCATTTAAGTAAAGATCCTGCCAGCCCTTGGAGCCAAGTTATTGGATTTTAGTAGTGGCTGAGTGACTCTGCTTCTGGATAGACGTGATTAAATTACGGCTCTCAGAGCCCTGAGTCCTGACGGTGGAACACTCATAGAGCACCAAGACTTGACGAAGGAGCATCCATAGAGCACAGAGTCCTGACGGAGGAACATTCATAGAACACCAAGACTAGATAAAGGAGCATCCATAGAGCACTGAGTTTTGAGGGTGGAACGAACACTTACAGAACACCAAGACTTGACGAAGGAGCATCCATAGGGCACTGAGGCCAGACGGAGGAGCTCTGATAAGCAAAGGTGTGTATGGTTAATAGGGTTTTAAAATCTATCGACTACACGAATGTCATTAAGGCTGCACTTAACCTGTTCACCACCAGTCAGGAGTACTTTAATTTATTAAGCAACCTCTAAGTGTATATACGAGGCCTTAATGACCCTCATATAGTCAATATGCTTTGAGCAACATTAACCAAAAACTGGCTTGAGTTTGTAAGGATATTAAATATATTGTGAAGGCCAGAGGTCATACCAGAGGTCACACAAGAGGTCACACAAGAGGTCACACCAGAGGTCATACAAGAGGTCACACCAGAGGTTCAGGGAAAAAATTGAAGTTCCACACCTTTGTTACGTCTTGATGAGAAATTTCTTCACCCACTGAAGTGTAAAATTTGCTCATAGAACTACCCCCTACTACTGAGTCCCCCTACCCTCCTCCTCCATCAAACCCCCATCCCTCCTCTTCCCCCCCCCCACGTCTGATAGTGAGGGAAGTGACGATGTTTGTAGAGTGCCGTCGTTGAATCTGTTCAATCTCAGAATTTTCTAAATCCTGAGTGTGAGTAGACCTCAACCCCCCTGGTCCCACCTATGTGAGTAGACTCATCCCAGGCCCTGCCCATGTGAGTGGCCCCACTCGATAGGCTTTAAATCAACCATCACTAATTCTAGGAAAGGAAGGCCAGCGCTCACTTCTCAATACGCTCAACATTGCCATTCAGCGGCTACTCTCATTAGAGCTTTTGGATTTACTTCCGACACGGCTAGTTTATTGTGCTCACTAATTCATCCTTTGGAGGGTGAGCCAGGAACATATTGATACACAAAAAAGAGCCTAAAAGGAATTATGGGAATACATTTATCATATATTATTTAACAGTCTATGATTTCTTCATCTTTTACAGGCAAATTTAGAATATTTGCTGAAAATTTTTGGCATTTTAGTGCCGTGTTCTATTTATTAGCTGACGAATATACCAACAACTCACTTCTAAATATCACAATGAAGACTCATCAGGTTGGGAATCAAAAGTTCTTCACGATGACCAAGTGATTCACTGGAGAGGTCAGTTATCTCGTAATATTGTATTATATAGTGGGTTTAGTACGGTGTTGAGGTCTTCCTGTGTTGAGCTGAGCGATAGGCTTTATGCAAAATCTTTAATATTAATTAAGTAGGTTGTGCAAAGGAGACTTATATTGTGGGAAAAAATGTATCCCAACCTAACCTAACCTATTTTTTGGTTACCTAGACAAACTTTTTTTTTTTTTTGCCTGTAGACCCAAAACATAACTATCTACGATGCATAACAACTCCATTTAATGCACTTTTCTCCATACCACCTAAGTTCCCTCTCATCAGTTCATTATTGAAATATCTCGCATAACCTCATTTCCACTCCCATTTTTTTTCCCAGCGCCTCATGATAATGAAAGTTTCTCCCTTCAAGAGTTGTGTCTTCATATAACTTTCTGGTCTTCAGATACGGAGCGCGGACGTCCGTTAACATGTCATACAAGTTGCTATGTCAGCGCCCAGGACAGGATATATACAGACAGGTGCTGATCATTTACTTTAAACATCTATTTTAGAGATTAAAGTATTTTTGATTAGTGGCGAACAGATTAAATGTAGCTTTAATCCTCGTGTAATGAATAGGCTTTCAACCCCAGAAGCCGACCAACCAAGTGGGACTGGGCAAAATGGTAACTGCAGCGGAATCAAAATTTATTAGGTATATAGCCAGCACTTGGTTCATTAGGGCTGCGATTCACCTGTACCTTCATTTGCCTCGGCCTGGCTAGTAACACTATATTAGCTCTGGCTTTCTGTATGGTGTGCTGTTGCTGTGTCAGTGAGTGTTCTTGTACACACTGAATTTTATTAATTTTTCAGTTTAGTTAACCCGTGCCTATTGTACGTAACGTTCTGGTGGGGATGGTGGGATATTGTCTTAAATCAAAGCTATCTTTTTGTGTGTATAATTTATTCCTCATCTTAGATTGCCCTATTATCTGCACTATCTTCAAATATCAGTAGTTTTTATTGGTTAAACACTTCTGTAACGTAATTATAATGTGAAAATGTTCTCTAAAATATTATATGAGATATATCTGAATTTAGCACATTATGAAATATAAGCAAATTTAATACATTCGCAGTAATGTTAGTACTGAATAAGATGCATAACTGATGTTAGGCTTATGTGTTATCATATACAAATAGTATTAACAAAAGTAGAGAGTTATTAGGAAGGAATAACGACAAACGATCGTACCGTATTCAATTCATATTGAAAATCAACAGTAATTAGCACAGTTCCTTATGGAAATATAGGATGATAAGGATAACAGTACACAGTCTTCTTTCTGCCCGGTTACATATGCTGTCCTAGTTAGTATTTACGATCACCAAGAGCCTCACTCGTCAGAATTTTGGCTACGGTTAGCGGACGAAGGATCGATCCTCCATCTACAAATCGTATCGAATGACCCGCACGGATTTACCGCGTCAACGACAATTCAGATATGTGCAGATCCTTACAAATGACAATTCTCTCTTTTCCGTCGTCTCAGGTGTCGTTCGGGTCAGTGTCGCCGGCGTTGAGCGACCGCTCGTCGTACCCTCGGTTCATCAGGACGGTGGCTCCAGATTCGTCGCACAACGCTGCTAGATTAGCCTTCCTCACCCACCACTCCTGGAGCACAGTCACCACTATCTCTGAAAACCACGACATGTACACCTTGGTGAGTATCATGCCTAAGCTTGTCCTGTTTATTGACAAACCTTACCTAACCTAACCTATCATGCCTGAAATAGTATTGGCGCGTCTCTCACACATCTGAAGGACATAGGTTCAAGCCTGGTGGATACGTTGAATATGTTCCCTTACACTTGTTGACTCTGCTCACCTAGAAGTAAACAAATACGCCTGGGTGTGTTCACCTAGCGGCAAACAGGTACCTGGATGTGCTCACCTAGCAGTAAAAAGTACCTGGGTGTGCTCACCCAGCGGTAAACAGGTGCCTGGGTGTGCTCATATAGCAGTACACAGGTACCTGGGTGTTGGTGCCTGGGTGTGCTCATCTAGCAGTACACAGGTATCTGGGTGTTAAACTACTGTTGTGGTTTAACACCCAGTAGGGAATACGTACCTAAGGCGTTAGCATACTGTTGTGGGTGAAATCCTGGGCAAGGGTTTATTATTCGTTAAATAGAACCAGGCTTTGAAATGAGCGCTGAGGTGAGACAACAGCTCTTAGCCAGTATACTCAAGTGTAAAAACATTGCTTTGCGTATATATGAAATCTTGGTAAGTTTGTATAACTGCCCCAAAAAATACTAAGTGCAAATTTGTGCCGTGTAAATTCCTGGAGCATTTTTTTTTCTAGCTGGGAAACCCACTTGCATACTGCAGTCATATTACGCCTGCAGACATTAACTATTTTAATGTAGCAAACGCAATAGAAGGGAAAAAATATGCATGCATTAAGGTGAGAGAATGGTTGAGGTGCTATTACTGTTATTATTATTATTATTATTATTATTATTATTATTATTTGTAGTAGTAGTAATAGTAATAGTAGTAGCAATAATGTGGGAACGTAAATAACAAAAAAAGGCACAATACCGTGACTTTGTAAATGGTCCAAGTCGGACCGAAACGTCGTCGTAAGCTTCTCTCTTTTATGTGCGGGTTATTTGTGTATGTGGGAACGTTTCGCTCTCCCGGAGCTAGTAGCAGTAGAACTAGTAGTAAATGTACTTTTTTTTAAGTCATACAAGCTTTCTACTTCCTAAATACATGCTCATTTGATCCAGTTTCTAAATTTATGCTTGGTCGATGCATACCGTGTAAAGAATGACACGTGTAACTGATAGATCGGAAGCTTCTGCGAAAATCACAAAATCACTGGAAATAAATTTTCGTGATGCGTGTTGCAAGAGGATACGAAGATTAATGACCACTGGATATGTTATGGAGGGAGGAAGGAACATTAAGAAGGGCAGAAAGATATTGTTGGGTACTGGGACACAGTTGCAACTAGGAGCGCTGTCAAGCCGTTACAAACATTACAATATACTGAACTGGGTGTTGGTAGATAATAGGAGAAAATAAGTGGTTTAATTTCCGCTATAATACTTAAACAATGTGCAACTGCTAAGCAAATATTTTTCTATACTGCATTATACTATTTAGAAATAACTATAATTAACTGAGCAAACTCCTCTGTTTTAAATTATAAAATATTAAGTCTAATTTCTCTATGTTTTTTAAAATACGTAACATATAGTTGAATTAATAGTCTTAAAGCCTGTGAGCATGTTAAGGTTATTAAGGCTGAAGATCACCTGAACTTCACCAGTCAAGGATACTTTAATTAATCCTTAAGACATAGTTTAAAGCAAATTCTCAGTGTATATACAATTCACTGAAACGACATACATTCACTTTTTCAACGAACGACTGGTTCGTTGAAATTATATATATATATATATATATATATATATATATATATATAATATATATATATATAAATATATATATATTATATATTATATAATATATATATATATATATATATAATATATATATAATATATATATAATATATATATATATATATATATATATATATATATATATATATATATATATATATATTATGTGTGTGTGTGTGTGTGTGTGTGTGTGTGTGTGTGTGTATCAGTGATGTAACATTTCTATTAATAATAATAATAATAATAATAATACTGCTTCTAATAGTAATAACACCACCTCGGTAATATATCAACACTTGCCATGACTAGTAATCCTTTGGTGTTTACTGATTAATGTTGATTGTTCGTGCAGCACATTGTACAAGTACATTAAAGTGATTACTGCGAGGTTGAGAACATTGTTGATGTTGATGGTGGTTTTGTGTTGAGGAAACTACGTTGGTCTAGCGTGTGGTAGCAATCATTGTTGTATAGAGTTAGGGTTAGAAGAGGAAGTTAATGATGTTAGTTCAGTGTGGTAATAGTCATTACTGTTTTTCAGTCTTATTTTATCTCTCGTAATGTTATTGATTGGAAATGAAATAATAATAATAATTATAATGATAAAAATAATAATGTTAATATTATTATAATTATTCACCAAACCCGTTGGGTTCATACGATGTCTGGGAATTAGGAGGTAATCAAATTTGATCCAAGGAAGAAGAAGAAAGCTTCAATTACTTGTATCAAGATCCCTACCCCAGCATTAAGTCACATGAGATTCATTTTTATTGACTATATTATTAGGCTACTTTTCCCTTTAGTGACTTTTGATTCAAGGATTTGGAGCTATTCTCATCTTCCTTGGATCAGACCTCCCATTTCCCACGCGTTTTGACACTTAAGAATTTCAGGCTGCTACACACATTCTTATTCGTTAAATTCTTAAATTAGATTTTTTTGGTTATTTCTTCAGTTTCTGAAAAAAGTTTAAAACGAGGAACTCAGAAAGAAAATTTCTTCCAGCGCAGGAAAAGCCATTAACAGGTTTGAAATTTGTCTTTTTAAAACTCTACAACCAACATCCCTCGAGGACTAAACTGTAAGTGGAAAATGTTCAGAAATTCGACACTAAAAGTCACAATACTGTGGCTGGAACCATTCACAACTAATCCACAATACTGTGGCTGGAACCATTCACAACTAATCCACAATACTGTGGCTGGAACCATTCACAACTAATCCACAATACTGTGGCTGGAACCATTCACAACTAATCCACAATACCGTAGCTGGAACCATTCACAATTAATCCACAGTACTGTGGCTGGAACCATTCACAACTAATCCACAATACCGTAGCTGGAACCATTCACAACTAATCCACAATACTGTGGCTGGAACCATTCACAACTAATCCACAATACTGTGGCTGGAACCATTCACAACTAATCCACAGTACTGTGGCTGGAACCATTCACAACTAATCCACAATACTGTGGCTAGAACCATTCACAACTAATCCACAATACTGTGGCTGGAACCATTCACAACTAATCCACAATACTGTGGCTAGAACCATTCACAACTAGTCCACAATACTGTGGCTGGAACCATTCACAACTAATCCACAATACTGTGGCTGGAACAATTCACAACTAGTCCACAACACTGTGGCTGGAACAATTCACAACTAGTCCACAATACTGTGGCTGGAACCATTCACAACTAGTCCATAATACTGTGGCAGGAACAATTCACAACTAACAGTACTGTGGCTGGAACACTTAATAAATAACCCACAACATCGTAACAGGAACAATTCACAACTAACCCACACAATACCGTGCTATTCGCCGGTTAAGGTAGTCAGGCTGGTGAAAGACTTGTTCTGTGGAAATGTAGCTGCTCTTTCTCTTCTTAGAGATCAAACCAGATGTCCTACCATTCCCCAGGCGCTGTATGACTCATAATGGTTTAACGCTTTCCTATTAATATACTGGTAAGAATAACAACAATGTCTTGTATGTCTTTAGTCGCTGGGTGTAGTGAGAGAGAAAGAGAGAAAGAAGGAGAGAGATACAAAGAGACTCATCATGGGTGTTCAGGGGCAGACAGGGATCATTGTCGAGGTTGGTTCTTCAAGTTTTCAACAGTATTGACCACCTGACAATGAGTCCCGCACCTCTACACAAAATAATTAAAAGTATTTTTTCCTTTACTGATATATATATATATATATATATATATATATATATATATATATATATATATATATATATATATATATAATATATAATATATAATTACTTTTTATAGATTTTTTGGCTAATAGAGTTGAGGTTATACTGTTTTGAGCATACGGACAACATATGTAAATTGTACAACAGTAAGTTGGTTAAACAGTGGATACGACTGTTTTTTGGGGGGGCCAAAATTAGGAGTTAATTACCAGGTTACTTAAGTCTGATTACCTTTTTATTTTTTATTACCAAAAACATAAAAGGCTTTTTACCCATGGATCCAAATCATTATTGTTTTCACTGCACATTATATTAATGCTGGATAATTTACATAATACACAAATAACCCGCACATAGCAGAGAGATGGTCATGATGTTTTTTTCGACTTGGACCATTTACAAGTCATACTTGTAAATGGCCGAAGGCGGATCAAAACGTGGCCATGAGCTTCTCGCTGGTATGTGCGGGTTACTTGTGTATTATTCCACTCACGGTACTGTGACTTTTTATTCTTTAATTTACATAATAAATAAATACATGGACGTCATCTGTGTGCATGTATATATAACTGCTAAAATCAAACACTTACAACAGACCTGCAGTTTTCCTACTCAGTTTTCCTCGTGTCCATCTCACGCTATGCAAAAACTCAATGCACATAAAAGGCCCTAAAATCTGGAATTCATTACCTGTGAATATAAAAGAAACACTGTTTATAAATTCAAGTCTCTTCTCAAAAATCACTTACTCACCCAAAACTAAATAAATACTGAATAATGGTATTTCATAAATTGTATCTCATATATGTATCTCATTATTGTATCTCATAAATGTCAACCTGTGACCCAATCAAACTTTGTTACTATTTAACTTCATTACCTAACAGAATACTCCATTCTAGTGATTACACAGCAACACAGTAAATGACCATATGACCTGTCTTTGTAATACTCATTTGTATTAAATTGTTATCTGTTTTATAATAATTTTTGTACCACTTAGTTAATTTTTAAGCTAATTTTTAAGTTAATTTTTAAGCCTGCCCATAATGCTCTGCATACAAGGGGCTTTGGCATGTTGCACCTTAAAAATTGTATTCCTTGTACTTCTATGTATCATGTTCAAATTAATAAATAAATATGTTCGTCCTGGGGACAATTCCAGCAGGACTGCAATTTCCTTGCATATGTTTTTAGTTTTTTTAATTGTCATCAGGAGCGACCATTAACAGACTTTCAGTTTGTACTTGGTAATAGTTAATTATAACATGGCTTTGAGAAAGGCACATCCGTTTGTAAAATTGATGTTAAATTGTTATGATAAACATCTCATAGTCATCTTGTGAGATGGTGGAGGAGGCGGAGGAGAGTTGGGAACGTTGAACTATACAAGAATAAGGCCACCAACATGACATTTCTCTGGTATTGACGAGTGGGTCGATATCTATCTTTCACTCTCTCTCTCTCTCTCTCTCTCTCTCTCTCTCTCTCTCTCTCTCTCTCTCTCTCTCTCTCTCTCTCTCTCTCTATCTATCTATCTATCTATCTATCTATCTATCTTTCTTTCTATCTATCTATCTTTCTCATTTACATTCTTGAACATTTACAGATCTCTTTCATATTCCCTTCCTTCACATGTACCTGTTAAAACCGACTATGTTACACATACTGTGTTATGCAATAAGATCACAGTAAACAGGTGATATCACAATATGCAAAATAACCACTATGAAAACAATAGTGAATTTCCAAGCACTTAATAACGTGAGAAATCACGAATGCACTTGGAAATTCACTATTTTTTCACAGTGATTATTTTGTTTATTGAGTTATCCACGCTTTGATTATCACCTTCATTCTCCACCACTCTATCATCCTCCCTCCCTCGCACCATCTCTCCATCACACCATCATCTTCCTTCCCTTGCACCATCTCTCCATCACACCATCATCCTCCATCCCTCGCACCATCTCTCCATCACACCATCTTCCTTCCCTTGCACCATCTCTCCAACACCATCATCCTCCATCTCTCCATCACACCAACCCTGCAGTCTAAGCGAGACTCATTAGATACAAATCATATTAAAATTAAAGTCTCGACATATAGACATGTTTCCGTCCTTTCAAGTAATAATTACAGCTTCCAACTCATTGATACAAAGCCAAGACTCTGAAACTCCTCTCCAGGATTTGTGGAGATGAAGGTAACGGAAGCCGCGCGTGAAGCTGTGTTTGGTAACATTTCTAAACTAAAGGCAAAATGAAATCCAGTTTGTTTGATATATTGTGAGGCTTGCAAGGTTGTTGGTTAAATTCGTGTCCGCATTTTAGTTTGATCTCTCTGAAATATAGATACTTGTGCATAATTTAGGATATTTATTGTTTCACTCACTTGTGTAAAAATAATTTATCAATCTAAGACAGAATGTATAACAGCCAAACACAGATGAATCAAGTGACGTCAGGTGCTGATGAGTAAGTCTTATGTTCATGAGTAAGTTACCTCATGTTCATGCATTGGGTGTTGGGGAAGAAACAGTCTAACACAATATGAACTAGATTAAGACGCCTGAAATGTAAAACTCCCAGAGTATTGAGCCAGAACGTTGCTTAGAGCGATCAAAGCTGACTCACTCACCCTCGTCAACCTGGTTTCTTTCCGCTTTGTTAAGTATCCTTCCTTCGCATCGATATACTTTACATTACATTACACCCAATAAACAGTATTTTGAATAAGACTAAATAAGACGTTAGACAACGAAAGATTGGCAAAGATTGTTAAAAGGATCTTTGAAACCATTGATAAAGCTGAATATTAAAAAAAAAGGCCAATTCAAACTAAACTTAAATTATTTATTAAAAAAATTACACTAGAAAAATACTATGCAGCTTCTCAGCAATGCAAGTCACTTTTAATTTTTATTAATAAATTTATAAAAAAATTAATGCCAAATATTTTTATAAAAATAACTGTGTTCCAAAAAATAGAGATTATTACATAGAACGGTGTGTCCAGTACAGTACAGTACTCCCTGGTGTGTACATCTGCAGTATCACGACTCACGGGAATCGTAATGACATGATTGCAAACAAACCATACCACGGGTGGTGTTTGAACCCGCGGTCAGAGAGTCTCAAAACTCCACCGTCACGTTAGTGGCTAACGCGACGGTCTGGAGTTTTGAGACTCTGACCGCGGGTTCAAACCCCACCCATGGTATGGTTTGATCTGAAGTATCAGGCAGCCTATCTTGGGATGCTTCAGAAACGTTGGGTTTTGGACGTTCGTACATTCTTCACTGTGAGATGCACCATTAACAAGTGATAGAAGTTTAATTTAGAACTTTTTATTAAAAAAAATGTGAGATTCCGATGGAATATTAAATCTCATCTGAATAAAAGACTTCTGCTGAATCTCACTTCCAAATTAAATCAAGTGACGAATGTGCTGGCTTGAGAGAATCATTACCACCATCATTATCACCATCACTACCACTACCACCATTATCACCATCACTATCACCAACACTACTACCATCACCTTCACTATCACCACCATTATCACCATCACTACCATCACCACCACCATTATTATCACCATCACTACCACCACCACCACCACCACCATTATCACCATCACTACCACCACCACCACCATTATCACCATCACTACCACCATTATCACCATCAGTACCATTATTACCACCATCGCTATAATTACCATCACTATAATCACCATCATCACTATTGAAATGTCCCAGAAGTGAAATTGACCGCACACACTTCATTGCTTTCTAGTTGATGGATCACCTCCAGATGTTTGTTGATAACTCATCACAAGACCTCATAATGACCTGTGAGGCTTTCATGATTATACATCGTAATTATTTTAGCAGTTGCTTTAAATATAATTACTATGTGCTCTAAATGTAATTACTATATGCTCTAAATTTAATTACTATATGCTCTAAATGTAATTACTATATGCTCTAAATTTAATTACTATATGCTCTAAATGTAATTACTATATGCTCTAAATGTAATTACTATATGCTCTAAATATAATTACTATATGCTCTAAATGTAATTACTATATGCTCTAAATGTAATTACTATATGCTCTAAATTAATTACTATATGTTCTAAATATAATTACTATATGCTCTAAATGTAATTACTATATGCTCTAAATGTAATTACTATATGCTCTAAATACAATTACTATATGCTCTAAATATAATTACTATATGCTCTAAATATAATTACTATATGCTCTAAATGTAATTACTATATGCTCTAAATGTAATTACTATATGCTCTAAATGTAATTACTATATGCTCTAAATGTAATTACTATATGTTCTAAATGTAATTACTATATGCTCTAAATATAATTACTATATACTCTAAATGTAATTACTATATGCTCTAAATGTAATTACTATATGCTCTAAATGTAATTACTATATGCTCTAAATGTAATTACTATATGCTCTAAATGTAATTACTATATGCTCTAAATGTAATTACTATATGCTCTAAATATAATTACTATATACTCTAAATGTAATTACTATATGTTCTAAATATAATTACTATATGTTCTAAATACAGACCAGTTTAGTTGTTCAAGCTCTAGGCTGTAAAAAAAACCATTTTCCATAACACGCTAACTTTTTTTTAGCACGAGGTTGAAACAGCAGGTGCGTTGCATTTTTAATTACCCTCCCGGAGTCGATAGGCCTCAAGCCTAAAACGTGAACCCCACATATATTTCACTCGGTGTAAAGCTTTATTAAGTCAGGACCTGATAAATTTTTACTCAGTTAAACGTTGTCCCAATAAAGGTTTATTCTGCAAGTTCTCTTTGTCATCTTGCGCCTTAGTACCTTCAGGAGCTCACGGTGTCTTCCCTCTCCTCGCTCAGGCGCTGAATGAGCTGATGCCAGCCCTGGAGGCTGCAAACATTTCCCTGCAAGCCACCGTCACTCTCTCTCAAGGGGATTATACTGAGCATCTCCACACTCTTAAGGTGAGTCACTCTGTGTGTGTGTGTGTGTGTGTGTGTGTGTGTGTGTGTGTGTGTGTGTGTGTGTGTGTGTGTGTGTGTGTGTGTGTGTGTATTTTAAGTATTCTGGAAGGGTAATTCTTGTTTTTTCTGTTAAGACGTGTAACGTGATTACCTTGAGCTTTGACCTGCCTCATCCAAACATTCTGTAATTGTTTGAGGTCCTGTGAAGGCTGCCTCGAATCTCCTTAGACTTCTCCGAAGACAGAATTTTGCAGCTAATAAATTTTATTTTTTGTGTGCAGTTTTTAATTTAATTTCACCTATTGGCTGTTTAATTGTTAGCCTGTAAATGACTATGATGACTAGAGAGAGGACTTCTGGCGATTTTGTAGAAAGATTGATGATAGGATAATCGAATGCATTTAAATAGGGATAAGGGTTTGTAGTAGAGAAGAACTGTGACGTTATAAATACTAAAAATAATCCACAACTAAGATATTGATACTGTTATATTTTATGCAATTTTGGGTGAGTACAGAGGTGTAATCGCCTACTTGCTGGTGAGTACCTAGCTGTGCGAATATACTATAGGAATGGTTGCAATACGAGGCTGTGTACTGGGTTGGACTGGTTGTGACTGTTTATCTCGTTGCTTCAGGAGCGTGACTGCAGGATCTTCATTGCCAGCTTCTCCGTCGATTTGGCCAGGAAGGTCTTCTGTCAGGTGAGTATCTCCCTACCTGCACCACTTTCCCTACCTGCAACACTCTCCCTATCTGCAACACTTTCCCTACCTGCAACACTCTCCCTACCTGTAACACTCTCCCTACCTGCAACACTCTCCCTACCTGCAACACTCTCCCTACCTGCACCACTTTCCCTACCTGCGACACTCCCTACCTGCAACACTCCCTACCTGCAACACTCCCTACCTGCGACACTCCCTACCTGCAACACTCCCTACCTGCAACACTCCCTACCTGCAACACTCCCTACCTGCAACACTCCCTACCTGCAACACTCCCTACCTGCGACACTCCCTACCTGCAACACTCCCTACCTGCAACACTCCCTACCTGCGACACTCCCTACCTGCAACACTCCCTACCTGCAACACTCCCTACCTGCGACACTCCCTACCTGCGACACTCCCTACCTGCAACACTCCCTACCTGCAACACTCCCTACTGCGACACTCCCTACCTGCGGACACTCCCTACCTGCAACACTCCTACCTGCAACACTCCCTACCTGCGACACTCCCTACCTGCAACACTCCCTACCTGCACCACTTTCCCTACCTGCAACACTCCCTACCTGCGACACTCCCTACCTGCAACACTCCTACCTGCAACACTCCCTACCTGCAACACTCCCTACCTGCACCACTTTCCCTACCTGCAACACTCCCTACCTGCAACACTCCCTACCTGCAACACTCCCTACCTGCACCACTTTCCCTACCTGCAACACTCCCTACCTGCAACACTCCCTACCTGCAACACTCCCTACCTGCAACACTCCCTACCTGCAACACTCCCTACCTGCAACACTCCCTACCTGCAACACTCCCTACCTGCAACACTCCCTACCTGCAACACTCCCTACCTGCAACACTCCCTACCTGCATAACTATACTATTTGCGCTACTTTTTCCTGTCTGCACAATTCTCTCTTTTGACATTTTATTGAGGAAACGTTTACCTCACTAAGGACTTCGTCAGAGTCATTAGTGGCAAACATTGCTTTTCTAAAAAAAAAAAAAACTATCCTAGGTGCTTAACGTGTCTTTACTTCACAGTCTGACAAGTGTTGATATACCTGGTATACCTAACATTACTCTCCTCTTTATGTCTGGAGACACTTAAATGAGACGGTCTGTTTCCTATTTACCATTGCAGTTACATGTTTTGTAGCTACAGTAGCAGAGTTACGTTCATGGTGTGCCGTCTTCAGTATTTTTGTCTTCAGTGTGTTTTATCAGTGTGTGATAACCGGTCAAAATGCTCCATTAATTAATAACAAATACTTCACTACTCTTCCAGGTTCAAACTGTTTCGGTAGTCTTATACTGTTCGTAAAATCTACTTCATTACATATGTTCTGCCTTAAATATAAATTTTTGGGGGAATTAAATAATAGAAATTATTTCTTCCCTTAGTTATGCTAATAATCTTCCTCTAATTTATACAGTAATATTTATTTTTTTAAACTTTCAGTTCCTGGTTGAAGAAACTGGGCTTATTATTCTCCTCTGAACTTTCATTTACATGCAGCCATTGTAAATGCAATTCCAAGTTCGGTAATTAAACTGACTATGATTTACTCACAGTTGTGTTGTCTACACCACCAAAAATTCACTTCATTGTAACTAACCAATGTCCCCCTTCCCCCATATATTAACTGTGACAGTGTTCTTAAGCTGCCATACACGAGGCTTCATGACCTTCTGACTTTCTCTTTAATTTCCTTATCGTCTCATAACTTATTCAGTTTCTAATATTTACCAACTCTACGATCAGTTTCAAAAGGAAAATGGGCATATGAGAAGTAATTCCGAGAAATAAACGAGCGACATAATGACTTTCATTAGCGAAGTTTGTAATTTCTGTGCGTAATTATCTTTGGTCAGGCTGACCGTCTTCCACCAAGGCTGGGTGACTGAAAGAGGAAAAATTATTTTCACCACTCGTCACCTCTCTGTCTTTGCAAAAATGCATGTAAATCACAATTTACATGACCCACAGAATCGCGGTGTCACTACCATCTATCATAGTGCGAACAATTTCCCACTCCCAAACATGGAGCGGACTTCATACATGGATTCACAAATATAACGGTAATTTCACAACAGTTGGTCCAGAGGTCATCATCGTAGGACCCCTTCCCCCAGCAAACTTAAACAGGCAATTACAAATAGGTAATTAGAGTTCTTATGACCTAGCCACCTCCCATTTCAAACAACATTGGACCCAATTTTGCTATCAAAGCAGTGGGCCATGGTTCCGTGTTCATTCTCCTCCCTTTCAAGCACCTTAATACCAGGACCACTTCCTCATGATTTGAGTTGTTCTCTCACCACCACCACCACAACCTTCCACTTTCTTTTAGAAAGGGCACTGCACCCCCTTCCAACCTCCCATCCATCCATCCATTCATCCATCCAGTGGGAGGCGGAGATCGACTCGCTGCTGGTGTATAAGAGGTTGACATTCCACTCGCTTCCTCTAACATTAAATTTTAATGTTGTATAATCCCTCACGTGGAGACACGTACATACCTACATAGAGACACGTACATACCTACATAGAGACACGTACATACCTACACAGACACGTACATACCTACATGGAGAAACGTACGTACCTACATTCATTCACGTACACACTCGTACATATCTACATGGATTCACATACACCTTCACAGTCACAAGAAACCTTTAGTCTGGTGTATGGAGATGGTAGATAAAATCCAATGAATAAAGATGGAAAGATGAAATTTGGTGTATAGAGAGTAAGAGAGAGATGGAGAAGGGAGTTGGGCGATATTCCAGTCACTATCAAGATGCTCCACGAGGAGAACTGAGAATTACTTTACATATATGTCAACATTTACATTTCAAAACCATCATGCATCTCCTCAGAGGTCGGTCTTGTGTCTGGGGCGCAGCCGGCGTTACCTCTCTGGATCACAGCACTCACAGACTGAAACAAGAAACTCTGTAGTCCAAGGTTGTGAGCTTTCCCACACACACACACAAATGTATGTTACACGTATATGCAAAGCTCACGATATATATATATATATATATATATTATATATATAAATATATAATATATATATATATATATTATAAAATATATATATATATATAATATATATATAATACGTGTCCATGGGAGCGTGTTAGGGAGGCAAACAACTTACATATTGCTTCTCTGACGAGTGTCACAAGGGACGGGTGTCGAGGACACTCCTCACACAAGCCTGGGTGCCTACTTCTCACGTAGTTTAAACTTAGGAAGAATCTAATCAAAAGTCACTCTGGAATGAAGTTTGAAGTTTGCTTGCGCGTTTTAAATTCATAATGTTGTACCCTGTGTGTGTGTGTGTGTGTGTGTGTGTGTGTGTGTGTGTGTGTGTGTGTGTGTGTGTGTGTGTGTGTGTGTGTGTATGTCCGCGCTCTCGCGTTTAACTGCGGAAAACGTAATCAACTCCTGTAACAGTCTTAAGGTTTTCTGGGGGATTCGAACTGTGGAAAGACAAGTGACAGGCCAACGTTCCATCAGTCGTGTTAACACCACCATTATTAAAGCACATTTCCACCCAGCCACATACTGTGAATTTAGATACTTGCAGAGACCATCGTGGCAGCATGTGCTGGCTGATGGTTGGTTGGTTAATTGGTGTATCGGCTACACGACGGTCATTAATGCTGCATGTAACCTGCTCACCACCACTAAAAAAAACCAGTGATGCCGAAAATTGAGATCAAAATAAACGCTCAGCACATCTACACTGAGATATATACTTCGTATATATTTTTTAACATACTGGCCGTCTCCCACCGAGGCAGCGCGACCCGAGAAAAGAATAAAGCTATAAAGTTTCTCTTCTTTTACATTTAGTAATTTATACAGGAGAAGGGGTTAACTACCCCTTGCTCTCGGCATTTTAGTCGCCTTTTACGACACGAATGGCTTACGGAGGAAGGATTCTTGTCCACTTCCCCATATATACTACCTGGAGTATACCTGGAGAGGGTTTCGGGGGTCAACGCCCCCGCGGCCCGGTCTGAGACCAGGCTTCGTGGTGGATCAGGATCTGATCAACCAGGCTGTTACTGCTGGCAGCACGCAAACTGACGTACGAACCACAGCCCGGCTGGTCAGGTACTGACTTTAGGTGCCTGTCCTGCGTATATATGGTGTATATATCCTCTCTATGGGTGAGACCATCGCTTCAGCCTTATTATAAAGCTCCTGGTACAGTGTGTCTGGTCACCACTCTTCAGTTGCTTGGTAAAGGCCAGGTAAACATGCAGACACACACATACCGGGGTCAGGAGCTTAGACTCAACCCTTGCAACCACATATAGGTGAGTACTCACACTCTCTTCACTTCACTTCCCACTAATTACTTTCCCCTATGCTTTCTCCTCTCTTCCCCTCACCTCCCCTCTGCTTCCTCCTGCCTCCCTCCCTCCCAAAGTCCCCTCAGGGTAGTGGTTTCCCCTCAAAGTTAGCGCGATCCCATACGAATTTCCAATCACGGGCTGGAAAGTCGACCTCACAGAGAACTACTGCGTGAAAATCGCCTCAAGCGACCGTGGCAACGACACGAACTTCAACGTAATTGGCCTTACTCGTTCTGTATCGAATTTGATGGTGAAAACTGTCTCTCTCTGCTATATTTGTAGCCTCAAGTTTCAAATTACTGTTGAGGCTATAAGTTCTGGGCCCCACTGTGTGCTGGGTCCATAAGCCTGGGGTCCCATAGTGCCGTTGGGCCCATAAATCTGGGGTCCCACAGTGCCGGTGAGCCCATAAGTCTGGGGTCCCACAATGTTGTTGGGCCCATAAATCTGGGGTCCCACAGTGCCGGTGAGCCCATAAGTCTGGGGTCCCACAGTGCTGTTGGGCCCATAAGTCTGGGGTCTCACAGTACTGTTGGGCTCCTAGGCTAACAGTTTCAGTTTGGGCTTCTTGCAGATATTGAGCAACAGCTCTAGAGCTTCTGGGTCTCTTGGGGTATTTTTATGAGAGAGAGAGAGAGAGATTTGCAAATTTATTGATAACCGGAGAGAGACTGGCTTACCAACACTTCAAGACAGGATCATTGGGATAGGGGGTCCCTGAGAGATAGCGTTACCAGGCAACACCAGTCCTGCTGGTAAGAATCAAAGCACCCATAGTCACTTAACGCACAGTAGAATGCCTTAAAATATCTTTATCGTCTTACTGAAGTCACTCAGCACAATCTGACGGATTTCATTACCTCATGAATGAATGCTATCGTTCACAATACAGTATGGCAGGGAAACATTACAAGCATTTGGGTAAGAGATGATACAGTTTACCAATAATTGTATTTTATTGAAGAAAGTTTTCTTCAGGACTGAAACCATACCCCCGGCCGGGATTGAACCCGCGGTCATAGAGTCTCAAAACTCCAGCCCGTCGCGTTAGCCACTAGACCAGCTAGCCACAGGGAATTCGTTGAGGAGCTGCCTAGCATGGGCCAATAGACCTGTCGCAGTGCTTCTCTTTTAGTCTCATGAACTCTTTCCTCAGTTACATATCCTAACACTGCACATGTATTTTATTTCATAGCTAAGTTTAGCTACCACAGTGCAAGTATAACATGCGATAGGGAAATCGCTTTCTGCGTGTATATCGAATTAACAATGCTGAAGATGTTCAATTTCAGCCTTCTCCTCAACAGGCGTTCCACCTGGGGATGTATGGAGAGGACTATGCCTGGGTGTTGTCAGGGGCGCCACAGGACAGCTGGTGGAGGGTGACGGCTGGCATCAACTGTTCTGCCTCGCAACTGGTGAAGGCGGTGCAGGGAGTGGTACTGGTCACTGCTCATGGCTCCATTATTGGCACCAACGCTTCAGAGTCTGGCTTGGTACTCATGACATGCTTACTGTTTATTATTCTGCATGTTGACATGCTCCCATTCAGGGTTTTTTGTTGACATGCTTCCCGTCTATGGTTTCATAAACGGGAATAGTGTGCAGAATTGTATGAGCACTTTTCTCACTGCAAATTCTTTTTCTGGCTTTATTACATTTCTTGTTTCAGGTCTGTATTAGATTTTGCAAAGATTATCTCACTCCCAGTCTCTCCCAGTCTCTCTCTCTCTCTCTCTCTCTCTCTCTCTCTCTCTCTCTCTCTCTCTCTCTCTCTCTCTCTCTCTCCTTCTCTCTCTCTCTCTCTCCTATCCATTATCTATCTACTTTATATCCATTGTCTGTTAAATTCTGCTATCCTGCTGTCTTTGTCCCACTAAGGTTCCTTGTATTACTTCCTGGCTGTCTTCCTCCGACAGACCAACAGCCAGTTCCTGCAGGAGTTCTCACGGACTGGTCAGCCCCTGACGGAGTACGTGACGCAGACCTACGACGCTGTCTGGGCCATCGCTCTCTCCCTCAGTCAGGTAAGAGTCGTCAGGCAACAGGACAAGTGCTTCCTGACGCGGGGTCTTAGTCACATGATTCACTCACACCCTGAGCTTTTGGTCATCTGACCGAGGCATTCCGCTGGCTTACCCGTCCAATACCTTTATAAGTTCTGGTTAAGTTTATAATAATTTTTAAAATACTGTGAGGTGGACACGTCTGTCTCCATTCCGCCATGTGCTGTATGACTCCTACAGGTTTAGTGCTTCCTTCTGATTATGATAGGTGATGCACTGGGGTTCTTTTTATTGTCGTAAATTACTATTAACATATTTATGAGGAAACTAAATAATAAAAATAAATAATAATAATTATTATTATGAAATATAACAGTAATAAGTTACCCTCCCCGAGAACACACACACACACACACACACACACACACACACACACACACACACAACACACACACACACACACACACACACACACACACACACACACATACACACACACAAACACACACACACACACACACACACACACAAACACACACACACACAAACACACACAAACACACACACACACAAACACACATTATCAAATTATTTTTAAGAAAGTCAAACAAAAGTAGCGATAAAGAAATTTGTGGAAACAGAGAGAAAGTTGAGAAGAGAAAACATTAAGAAAACACAGAAGAAACATTAAGAAAACAGGTAAATAAATTTTCGGAAGAAGAAATTTAAGGAAACAAAAACTTGCTAGTCCATGAAGGGTGATGAAGGGCTCTTGATTCTGGTAACTGGAGCTGCCTTCCCCTTCCTCGGATCGGAGTTGATTTCTTAATATTACCCAAGACGACACCGAATTCCTACTACAAATAGGTAACTACATACACATGTTCTATAATAGTAATTATAATCAAATAATAATAGTAATAATTATAATCAAATAATAATAGTAATAATTATAATCAAATAATAATAGTAATAATTATAATAAAATAATAATAGTAATAATTATAATCAAATAATAATAATTAATATTTAAGTAGCGTTACCATGGTAACAGTTTGCGGTTAATGACTGCTTCTCACGTTTTATGAAGCATAATTCTTAATTGCTAGTTTTAGTGAACACTTCAGCTAAAAAGAAGAATTGATGAGATCTGTCATAACTTCTAGTTATGTATAAGTTAATGATAGCGATGA